ACACCATTTGACATTGTTGATGTCAGCATGACGTCACAGGGGACATCACAGCTTGTGACATCAGCAGACTCTCGATGACGTCGGGAACATTGTGACTCATGAAGTCGGGCAGCACAAACGTGACTCAATGTGATGGGACAGCAACCACAGCATGAGGCCTGGGCATCTGGCTTGGTAACCCACGTGGGGTTGTAGATCCACGTGAATCCCCACACCCCACGTGGCGTCGTTATCTACATAGCATGCTAATCCCCAGGGTTCTGAAAACGTGCTGCTGACCACGGGGGTTTCTGATCCGGTGCTTGCTGACTACATGGCTTGCGTCCACGTGGCTTGTTTATCCACATGGGTTGGTGTCCATGGCTTGGGGATCTCTGGTTGCTGATCCAAGGGTGCTGATCCACGTGGCTTCTTTATCCATGGGCTTGCCGATCCAATGTTTGAGTACGTGTTGCATCGATCCATGTGGCTTAGGACCACGGGGTTGGTGATCTATGGGCATGCTGATCCCCATGGCATGGAAACGTGTGGACGCTGAAACGTGGGGTCACTGGGATGCCACTTTCAAATTTTTCGAAGAAATTCGGTAAATTTCGCAGATCCTGCTTTTACCTGTTCTGGGTGCTGAAAAGTGCAGACACGTCAGGGGAAACTCGTTTAAACGAGCTTGTTGGTAGGGGGATGAAGTGAAAACTTCATTCCCTTTCCTTTTCCCTCCCGGGGAAACAATGCTGTGAACCACCGCTTCCCCCCAAATTATAATGAAATTATTTGGTAATGCTGGTATGGGGGGTAAATATACGCTCAGGCTTCTTTACTTTATTGTAATGTAGTGGGGGGTACACGGCTTTTTGGTTTTTCCCATGGCCCGGTAGGGCCATCCCACAGAGGGAGAGAATAGTAGGGCTTTTGTCTTGTTGTGGCCGCTGAGAGAAGAGAGAGTGTGGGCCCACGTCCCCCGATTTTGGGGTGGCCCAGAGGGCAGACCCTTTGTGGGCGAAATTGAACTAAGCTGACAGACAGCATAGGGTGCGGTTCGACATACAGGGTTTTCTCACAGTTCTTACCATGTATACATATATAGTACATAAATAAAAAAATATACAATAAAAGTAAATTATGGGAAAAAAAATGAATAATGATTTTACATTACGTATTATATAGGGTTTTTTATTAGGAAAAGTTTGAATTAGCCCTACCCCTATGTCGTAAAATTTTAAAGGTTTGATTTCTTTTATTTTGCTTACGACTGGGTTGGTCGGACCAACTTGGTCGTAATAGATGGTACCTGGTATAATAAATATATATACAGTGGGCCCCCCATAACATATTAATCCCTCCGAGAGCTCATTGTTTTGCGAAATATCGTTTTTGCAATGAATTTTCCCCCATAAGAAAAATGGAAATAAAATTTTAATCCTGCAAGACAAACCCAAAGTATGAAAAAAAAAAATTTTTCCACAGAACTATACATTTTCCACACACAAGAGAAGGGTACATGCACAAAAGTAGAGTATACAGACAATATATATTGTGATGTACAATCTACTAAATGAAGAATAAAAACACTTACCTTTTTTGAAGATGCAGCAAGACTGATGGGCACTGTTCCGGGAGTGCCTTTTCCCCTGATACTGTAGGTCTTGTTTTGGCATTTTCTTCCAGAACATGCCTTATCACACTGTTAGGGCCCCTCGATTTTTAACCCTTGAAATGTTTTTAGGGCCCCCCCTGAAACTGTCATTCAATGTGCTCAATTTTTGAAAACAAAAAAAATTATTTTTTCTTATGAAATGATAGAGAATCTTTTCCCGATGGTAATGACACCAAAAGTTCGAAATTTGGTCGAAAACTCGTGGAATTATGCTCCCGCGAAGTTAGCGGTCTCGGCGACATATGTGTATCGGCGATTTCGCCGACTTTGAGCCCTATTTTCAGCCAATTCCATTGTTCCAGTTGACCAAACTCATAGCTATTTCTTTAGAACTCCATTTTATCTATCAGCTGAGTACAAGAAACCTCCCATTTACTAATTTGGACTACCCAATATGGTGGTCAGAAATTGGCAATTTGGCCAATTTCACGCAAAATAAAAAAGATGCCAATTTCAAAATAGGGTCCAGAATAAACAAGGTAGACATTCGTGGCACTAAAATAACATATGCTCTGTTCATTAGTCACATCTCTAGGCCCCTCTTATATTATTATTGCTTTCTATTTTGATTTTTTATTCATACAAAAAAATACAAAATTTACTGTTATGCAGACGACTGCATTATTGTAAAAATGGTATAAATAATATCAGTGCACTAGTGAAAGAATATTAGACTCCCCAGTTGACGTGTATTGGACGTGTGGTGTGATTTATTTACTCTTGAACATTGGTAAAAATCGAACATTTCCGCTACTTTGAGCTCAGTTTCAAGGTCGTTTTCATCGTAAAAGTAATGAAAATCATCTCTATTTCTGTAATATGTTTTCCATTTTATCACCTAAGACCATGAAAACGCAAATACAACGATAAATACTATACGAAAATACACCTCAAATTCGGCGTTTTATTCCAAAAAAAACGATCAGAGTTTTTTTTTTCTCATTACGCAATGTGTGCTGCAGGATTTTTTTTATGTGGTGCACAACTGACCACACAGACCCATTCTCTCACATGTGGGCCTACCAGCTTTCTCCCACTTGATTTGAAGCCGCTAGAATTATTGAGTATATATACGTCAGAAACATTGGCTCGTAAGACGTATTTATACGTCGAAAACAGTCAAAGGGTTAAATCTCTCAAACCAACCTTTGCTGGCTTTAAATTCAAACCCAAAATGAGCACTAGTTCCAGGCATTTTTCCCTGTTCACCTGGGTGTTAGTGGACTGGTGTGGGTTGCAACCTGGGAGACAAGATTAAGGACCCCAATGGAAATAAGTTAGACAGTCTTCGATGACACTGACTTTTTTGGGTTATCCTGGGTGGCAAATCCTCTGGGGTTAATTGTTTCTTGGTATTCTCAATAAGCCACACCAACAACCGTGCTACAGCAGCAGCAGCAGCAGCAGCAGCTGACAGTGCTACAGCAGCAGCAGCAGCTGACAGTGCTACAGCAGCAGCAGACGATGCTACAGCAGCAGCAGCAGCAGCTGACGGTGGTACAGCAGCAGCAGCAGCTGACAGTGCTACAGTAGCAGCAGACGATGCTACAGCAGCAGCAGACGATGCTACAGCAGCAGCAGACAGTACTACAGCAGCAGCAGCAGCTGACGGTGGTACAGCAGCAGCAGCAGCAGCTGACAGTGCTACAGCAGCAGCAGACGATGCTACAGCAGCAGCAGACGGTACTACAGCAGCAGCAGCAGACGATGCTACAGCAGCAGCAGACGATGCTACAGCAGCAGCAGATGGTACTACAGCAGTAGCAGACGGTACAACAGCAGCAGCAGCAGCTGACGGTGGTACAACAGCAGCAGCAGCTGAGTGCTACGGCAGCAGCAGACGATGCTACAGCAGCAGCAGATGGTACTACAGCAGCAGCAGCAGCTGATGGTGGTACAGCAGCAGCAGCAGCTGTACCACCAGTAGTAGCGATGGTTGATTGGGGTTTATTATACAACCTGGCCAGCTCGGAGACACGCACTCCACTTTCATACTTATCAATGATCTTTTTCTTCATCTCTATAGTAATTCTCACCCTTATTGCTGTAGGGTTGGCACTAGAAGCTTTCTTGGGGCCCATGGTCACTTATTTTGCAGATAAAATCACCAAAAACACTGTAATAATACGAAATGTTCCGATTGTATGCTTGGATGTTACCACGGAGGCTGGCTGGTAAACAATGCCACCTGCGGAACATGTGAGGCTGGCTAAGGGCGCACATTAGATGCGTCTCGGACGAACAGCGTTGAGCGGGTTTTTTAGCGGTATGCGAGGCAAAATCTTGGCGATAAAATGTAGCGGTATGCGGATTTAACGTTATGCGGGGGTCCACTGTATTACTAAATGTAAAAGGAGAAACTTTCGTTTTTCCTTTTGGGCCACCCCACCTCAGTGGGATACGGCTGGTGCATTGAAAGAAGAAGAGACACTACCACTGGTATCAAAATTGAAAGGATGTGGCACAAATGTTGCACATGGGTTATTATTGTGGTTTTTAATATATCCTCAACCACCTGTGGCCACATCCATCTTAAAGCACAAAACTCAGGGTCAGCATCACTTTCCTCTTAAAAGGGGAGTGTTAATACGACATGATATCAGTGAATCTCTGGAGTTTGCCACACTGTTTGCTCTAGCTGGTGCTCATATGAACTGGTGCTCCCACAAGGTACTGTGTGGTCCCATATTTTTTTAATATAGTGCACAATGAGTGTTAAGACCCATTCTATACTGACCAGACATCTCAGGCCAATTGTGCCAAATTTGGAGGCAGGAAAAATAAAACATTGATCTACGTGTGGAGTGCTAGCAGTAAGAATGTAGATCTATGTTTGGACAGTTAAGAGGTTAATGACAGTATAATAAATGTTCTTCCAGGATTTCTCTGGCATCCCAGTACAATAGGTGCTTCTTCACTGAATTTTAATAATTTTTTGAACCTACCATCCTTTTTACATTATTACTTATTGTATGCAGTAAGTTCTTTTATAAAACTCCTCTGTATAGTGAGGGTTGGGGATAGTTGCAGTTTTGAACTGCAGTATCAGCACCCCTCTGGCAGGACAATGATGGAGTGAATGGAGGTGAACGTGTTTCTTGTTTTTTTGGGTCGCCCTGCTTCAGTGGGAGACAGTTGGTTTGTTGAGAAAAAATAAGCACATCCAAAATAGAAAAGTGCTTGGAAAGGTCTTCGTAGTATGTGCTCTTAACTTTAATATGCACTTTTTCTATTGCATTTACAAAATATCATGCTATATAGAGAAATTTCTTTATTTTAATCACTTTGAAAAATAACTAATTTCTATTTCACTCCACAAAATAATTTTTACCTTTTTATTTTACAGGCCTGTACAGCCCAACATACAATTTTGTGAAAACAATGATCCATTGTCAGGGTTTGTTATTGTTCAGCGAACTTATACCTCATGTGACTCAGCATTCTCTAAGCTAAAAGACTCTTCAAAATTTTCCTGCTTGCCTGTGAAGTCCTTCTGGTCTAATAAAACGTGAGTGTGTTATATGTACCAAGTTATTTAACCCTAGCAGTTTTATTTGTTACTCAACACCTCCAAGGATTGAATACCATATTCAAACACTGTCTTATTATATGTTTAAACTCTATCAGATTAAGCAAAACTACTGATCTAGCCACTTCTGTAAGTCATGGCACTGTTTTACCACTACATTTTCATAAAACTTTCTAGTATTCTTTTAGCAGATCATCATCCTTTATTTAGAGTCATGGCCACTTGGTGTGACAGTTCATTGTGTTGGGAAGTCTTTCTTGTCGGTTTTATAATCTTGAATGCAACGATTTTATATATATATTTTTTAATACCTGCTGTTTCCCACCGAGGCAGGGTGGCCCAAGAAAGAAGAAACACCTTCACTATCACTCATGCCATCACTGTCTTGCCAGAGGGGTGCTGATACTATAGTTCAAAACTGCAGATATCCCTATCCCCCCTTTACAGTGCAGGCATTGTACTTCCCATCTCCAGCACTCAAGTCCAGCTAACTTGTTTCCATGAATCTCTTCATAAATGTTACTTTGCTAACATTTAAACAGCACATCAAATCATAAAAACCACTTGCTTCCACTCACTCCTATCTAACACTCTCTCACACACACACCTGCTGGATATTTAAGCCCCTTGCACACAAAACCTACTTTATCCCTTCCAACCTTTCCTAGAACGACCCCTACCCCGCCTTCCCTCCACTACAGATTTATATGCCCTCAAAGTCATTCTGTTTTGTTCCATCCTCTCTAAATGTCTGAACCACTTCAATAACCCCTCTTCAGTTCTCTGAATAATACTTTTAGAAACCCTGCATCTCCTACTCTCCAAGCTACAATTTCTCTGCATAATATTTACATCACACATTACCCTCAGACATGACAGCTCCACTGCCTCCAGCCTTCTCCTTATTGCAACATTCACAAGCCATGCTTCACACCCATATAAGAGCATTGGTGCCACTATACTTTCATACATTTCCCTCTTTGCTTTCATGGATAATGTTCTTTATCTAAACAGACTCCTCAGTGCATCATTCAACTTTTTCCTCCTTGTTAATTTTATGGCTCACCTTGTCTTTCATAGACCCATCTACTGACAAGTCCACTCCCAGATATCTGAATGCATTGAACTTCCTCCATACTCCCTCTAATCTGATATTTAATTTTTCATTTCCTAAATTTTTTGTTATCCTCATCATGTATCCTACCTCAACTCATTTCAAAGCTCGTCATCAGTCGACTAACACCCAGGTATGTACCTACTTATTACTAGGTGAGGAGGGGCAGCAGGTCTAAGGAAACATGCCCAGTGTTTCCATCCATGCCAGGAATCAAATGATAAACACTTCCCAGTGCTTGAGTCGCTACAGTATTGCAGAGCTCAAGTCTGATTTTCAAATTATTTAAAAAATATTTCAGGCTCCAACTCTGAAAAATGAGGTACCGATGACACAGAGTTCTACACATTAAAATATTCATTACAGGTATGACTATATTGTCTCCTCTCCTCCCTATCATATGCTACCTTTGCAAAAGCACTCTGTTCCCTAGTTTGCTTAAATGAGTTTTGCCAGAAAAATGATAAGGTGGATAATGAGAACCTTTAAAACTAGGAACGCCAAGCCCATGATGGTTCTCTTCAAATCGCTTATACTCTCTAGGCTGGAGAACTGCTGTACACTAACTGCCCCCTTCAAGGCAGGCAAAATTGCTGACCTAGAAAATCCTAGAGGAATTAATACCAAACTTGTACATGAAAATCACTCCCTATGAAAGCAAAAGACTTGGCATGAGGTGCAACATTCCCCCAATGAAAAGCAGGGGCGCCACAAGTACGCTGAGAGACAACACGGTAAATGTCAGGGGCCCAAGACTGTTCAACTTGCCTCCCTGCATACATAAGGGGGATTACCAATAGACCTCTGGCTGTCTTCAAGAAGGCACTGGACAGGCACCTAGAGTCAGTTTCTGACCAGCCAGGCTGTGGTTTGTATGTCAGTTTGCTTGCAGCCAGCAGTAACAGCCTGGTTGATCAGACCCTGACCCATCATGGGGCCTGGTCTCACACCTGGCCATGGGGGGTTGACCCCCAAAACCCTCTCCAGTTATACTCCAGTTAGAGAGCCAACAAAGTAGGTTGACTCTGAGATAAACCAGGTCCACCATTTGCTTCTGTGACTGGTGAGGCATCAGGCAAATGTATGATCAGCTCTTTATGAGCAAGGAAATGGAGTGAGGAGCAGAGACTCATACAAGCTCCCTGAGCAGCATACATACCAGACTGCAATGCCATACTGAATGATTCTGACCTAAGCTTGTTAAGAATTAGCTCGTGAAGTTGTGTAGCAGCTAAAATACCTTGATATTTAGTGCCAGTTGATTGAACAATATGCCAGCAGTGCTATAGTACATGCCATCACCAAATGCCTAACACATGCAGGAGGCATCAGCCAACTGGGCTGTGGTTCGTACGTCAGTTTGCGTGCGACCAGCAGTAACAGCCTGGTTGATCAGAAATAACAAAAAGGCACAATACCGTGACTGGAACGATACACAAATAACCCGCACATAAAAGAGAGAAGCTTACGACGACGTTTCGGTCCGACTTGGACCATTGACAAAGTCACACTAACAGAGGTGGAGCAGGACGGCTATATATAGGCAGGAAGAGGTGGAGGTAGTAGTAGTAGTAGTACAAGAATTGTATATAATACCGACAGGATGAAATGACACATGCACAACACCCGGGCATCCCCACCGTAGACGTTTCGCCATCCAGCCAGCCACTGGATGGCGAAACGTCCACAACAAAAACAACCAGACGCCGCACATGTGTCTTAATTTCATCAGTAGTTGTAGTAGCAGTGGCTGGCTGGATGGCGAAACGTCTACGGTGGGGATGCCCGGGTGTTGTGCATGTGTCATTTCATCCTGTCGGTATTATATACAATTCTTGTAGTACTACTACTACTACTACCTCCACCTCTTCCTGCCTATATATAGCCGTCCTGCTCCACCTCTGTTAGTGTGACTTTGTCAATGGTCCAAGTCGGACCGAAACGTCGTCGTAAGCTTCTCTCTTTTATGTACGGGTTATTTGTGTATGGTTGATCAGACATTAATTCACCATGAGGCCTAGTCTCAGACCGGGCCATGAGGGCAGTGACCCTCGAAACCTGCTCCAGGTAAACTACCGGTAGCCAACACTGTTAACAAGCACCTCCCACTAACAGTAATTTCAGTGGTTGACAGCAATGTACTAGTGCAGCATAATGCAATGTAGCAGAATAACTGTTGCCTCAGGACAGGCACCCCATATTACACACACAGCTACACAATTAATACCTGTTGTACCTGGCCATACATCAAGTCTTGAGACAAGGAACAACCCAAGCAAGTAAAAGTAAAGGCAAACAAAGGAGTAGTTTTTAGTACCTGTATACGTACTCCCTTCACCAAGACATATATAGTATGTACAAAATAGATATCAGCAGAATAATAATGAGCAAGATAGCAAAGAGCCACTCATTACACCTCAAGATAGACCAGTGGGTGTGAGCATATGCCACCAGCATTAGTGAACATTTGCTGTCCAGACAAGAGAGAAACCATAACCTCAACTCAACTGGGGGTAAACTCTCACCCTATTAAATAACAAAAAAAGGCACAATACCGTGACTGGAACGATACACAAATAACCCGCGGTTATTTGTGTATTTCACCCTATTGGTTGGTGTTTGAACCAGACAGTGTATTAGAGCAATGAAGACCCTAAATAACTACTCTAATGTAATGTGTGTGTGATGGACACCAAATAAATTGTAACATACTTGGTACACCATCCTCCTTTCATACATTTATTGAATAAATGCACCAACCTCTCCAAAGCTATGTCTCCACTTGCTTTTAACATTTCTATCTTGAACTCATTTATTACAGTTGCTTAATCCCCTTCCATTCCACTCACTGCTTCATGCACCTCTCCCATATTCACATTTGGCTCTTCCTCACTCCTATGTTATACCTCCCTGTCCAGTGCATGAAATCACTGCCTCCCTCTCTTCATCAACATTACCCTCCATCTTTCCAATAGCTTCACCTCTCCATCTAATAATTCCCCTCTTTTGTTTTAAACTGTCAAATCCATTTGTTCTCTAGGCTTTTTTAAGTTTTTAGTCTCCAAAACTCTTTGACATTCTTAGTAAAATTTGGTGATAAAACAAAACCTCATCCACTGTCATTTGCCTTCCTTTTACACTCCCACACCACTCTCTTAACTTCTCCTTTTCTCTCCATATACAGTGGACCCCGAGTTTCGTGATTAATCCATTCCAGAGAGCCTGCCAAAAGCCGAAATTCACGAAACTCGAAACTATTTTTCCCCGTAAGAAATAATGGAAATAAAATTAATCCGTTCCAGACACCCAAAAATATTAAAATAAAATATTTTTTTTCAAATTAATAAAGATTTACATACTGAAAACAATCAGAAATCAAGTACATGCATATAAAAAATAATAATAACATTACATTTACCTTTATTGAAGACTTCTGGGTGGATGGAAGACAGGAGGAGGGGATAGGAGGAAGGTGTACACTAATGTTTGGAAGGAGAATCTCCTTCCATTAGGATTTCAGGTAGCAAGTCCTTTTCTGAGGTTACTTCCCTTCTTCTTTTAATGCCACTGGGAACAACTTGAGAGTCACTGGACGCCTGTCGCACAAAATATCTGTCCAGAGAGGTCTGTTTCTGGCATTTCTTTATGATTTGCCTGAAGTGGGACAAGGTTTTGTCACTGAACATAAGAACATAAGAAAGAAGGAACACTGCAACAGGCCTATTGACCCATGCAGAGCAGGTCCATGTCCCCCCTCCGGATTAGACCAATGACCCCTCCCCCCCGGATTAGCCCAGTGACCCACCCAGTCTGGTCATCTCCACTCAAGGATGGAGCACTGCACCAGACCCAGCAGCACAAGCTA